AAAAAAAAAAAAAAAGAATAAGGTGATAAGTAAAAGAGTGGTGACCAATAAAATATTTGGAAAGTGATATATAATTCTATAATGTATATTGTTAAGTGTTAGTATGTAAGTTGATAGTACACTGATTGTCAGTGAATGTACAGATAATTGTATACACTTTTGGCTATTATCTCTTTTTCTTCTTGGTGATGCTAGGGATGACACCCAAGGTCTTATATATGCTAGGAAAGCATCCTACCCATGATGGCTATCAAGAGAAAGACTAATATCAATTTACACATGATAGCTTATATACCTATATTTATTTAATCTTTAGAATGACCCTGTTCAATACCAGTTATAATCATTTTACAGACAATGGAATAACATAAACATGAAGACACATGAACACAAACAAACAAGTAAGGAAACTCAAATTCAGAATGGTTAAGTGATCTAAGTTCCCCCACTAGTACTTAAATCTATAATAGGTTCTTTAGTAGCTTTGTCTTTCTTTAGTAGCTTTGTCCATAATATGCCACTGAACCAGGCTGTACTAAATTTAAAAAAAATAGTTTAGCCATTTAGCCTACAGGTAAATAAGTAGTACCTTCCAGCTTGATCTAAAATGCTATTATCAAAGACAAAGAAGAGTTAGCATTGAAAAGACAAACCAAATAAAAATGGGATTGTTTTGCATCTTAGTTTACTTTTTTCTTCTTTTACTTGTTCTAGGAGGAGTTACAGGCCAATTTGGACCTTATTCAAACCTACAGACTTCATATTGCCCAAGATATCAACCAAGAAAACCTACAGCTCTTCCTGGGTTCCTATAATGGGTATAGCTATATCCCATTCCTTCATTTCATTACAAATCACACCTAAAAAAAAATGGACAAGTCGGGTGCTGGTGGCTCACGCCTGTAATCGTAGCTACTCAGGAGGCTGAGATCTGAGGATCAAGGTTCAAAGTCAGCCGGGGCAGGAAAGACTGTTGAGACTCCTATCTCCAATAAACCACCAGAAAACCGGAAGTGGCGCTGTAGCTCAAGTGGTAGAGCACTCGCCTTGAGCTGGAATGCTGAGGGACAGCGCCCAGGCCCAGAGTTCAAGCCCAATGACTGCCAAAAAAAAAAAAAAAAATGGACAAGGAGAGAAAAGTGACTTTTTAACCATTGTTACATACTTGTATTACTTGTGCTGTTAGACCACATAAGGAGAGAAGACTTTAAGATAGATATGAAAAGAACTTTCAGGAAGACTGAGTGAACTGAACATACCTTGGATGTGTTCAAATACCAGTTGAGTTGTAGTTTTAAGACATTTTGAAACAAAAGGAACCCAAGCTGTATACACTCACACAGCTCCCAAGTACTTATGAAGGAGACAGGAGTACACATGAAAGAGGCAAAGAAGACGTGGGCTCCATTTAGTTGCTCTTTGCTGATAGGTGCTCAGGAGCCAGAAGTAACACAGATGCTGGTCAGTTCTCTTTGGCTTGTGTATTCCAAAGTTCACTATCAACATCTGTCCTCTCAGAGTAGAGGCTGAGGGGACAGCACTGATTCTGGTCTTGGAAATGGCTTCTCTAGCTTTCTGGCAGCATGTACCAAGACTGAGGAAATGAGTCAACTGTAACTTTCCCAGGGTTGTGCAGCCAGTAGGGGATAGAGCCAGGTTTGAACTGGGTCTCCAGAGACTCCCTGTTTGATGTTAGTTGAAATCAGAGTTAAACTCTTATGCTAAATTGCTAGGAAAACTCCTTATAAAAAAAATAAAGTGGGGGCTGGGAATGTGGCTTAGTGGTAGAGTGCTTACCTAGCATACATGAAACTATAGGTTTAATTCCTCAGTGCCACATAAACAGAAAAATCTGGAAGTGGCTCTGTGGCCCAAGTGGTAGAGTGCTAGCCTTGAGCAAAAGAAGTTCAAGGATAGTGCCTAGGCCCTGAGTTGAAGCCCCAGAACTGGCAAAAATAAATAAATAAAAATGCACATTAAAAATAAAGTTTGGGGCTGGGAAGGTGGCTCAGTGGTAGAGTGTTTGCTTTGCATACATGAGGCCCTGGGTTCAATTCCTCAGTACCACATAAGCAGAAAAAGCCAAAGTGGTGGTGTGGCTCAAGTGGTAGAGTACTAGCCTTGAGCTGAAGAGCTGAGGGACAGCGCCCAGACCCAGAGTTCAGGCCCCACATCTGACAAAAAATAAATAAATTTAAAAATAAAAAATGAATAAAAATAAAGTTCTATTGGGCACTGGTGACTCACACCTGTAAACCTAGCTACTCAAGAGGCTGAGATTTGAGAATCACGGTTCAAAGCCAACCCAGGCAGAAAGGTCTGTGAGACTTTTATCTCCAGTAAACGACCAGAAAACTGAAAGTGGTTTTGTGGCTCAAGTACTAGCCTTGAGTTGAAGAGCTCAGGGACAGCACATAGGCCCAGAGTTAAGCCCCAGGACCAACCAAAGAAAATAATAAAGTTCCCGCTGGTCGCTCACACCTGTAATCCTGGATACTCAGGAGCCTGAGATCTGAGGATCCTAGTTCAAGCCAGTCTGGGCAGGAAAGTTTGTGAGATCTTATCTCCAATTAAAAGTTCCCTTTAGGAATTTGTTTCTGTCATGTAGTTATAAAATTAAACACTCTTGAGTTTGAGGATTTCAGTAATGTTGCTGTTGCAGTTTAAAGTTTGTCTCCCCTGCTGAAGAGCTCATGAACAGCACCCAGGCCCAGAACTGAAGCCCTGTACTGACCAAAAAAAATAAAGTTTGTCTCCCCTGAGCATCCTACAGACCTATTCAGTACCACTTAGGATGTCACTGATAACAGCTACTAGAGAACAGTTTAGGGACACCTGCCCTCCTCTGATGAGAATGTGTCATGATTTTACCTAAAAATGAAAAGGACATTGATTCTTCTTTATTTTCTAGGCGCAGAGATCTGGAGATTGAAAGACCTATCCTGGGTCAAAATGATAACAGATTAAAAACATTGAAGTAAGTCCTTCAGTTTCTCCATTGAGTTCGTAAATCGTTTTGTGTGTCACTACTATTTCAATGTTCAGTGGAGTACATGTGCTTCTTGCTGAGTAACACCTCTTCTGCTTCTGCCTAGGTGCTCCACTTTACTGGTGGTAGGGGACAATTCACCTGCTGTTGAGACTGTGGTAGGTAGGGGCTAACTTGTGAGGGAATGAGTAAAATGCAATTAAATGTATATGGCACACTACTGACACGCTAGAAACTCTGAATGAATACTGTTGTTGGTTTTTTTTTAAGGTCTGTTGTATGCAGCACTTCATGCTGTGTTAACTACAAAAAAAAAAAAAACACCATTTACTTATTATTAGATTTCTAGAAGCCTCCATCTCTAGTCTGGAGCAGATTACCTGTATCAGATATCCAGCAAAGCTAAAAGACTCCCAAGATCCTACCTTTGTCTACCCCTTTCTCCAGTACATAGCACATATATAAAAATGATGTAATCAGCTGGGCGCTGGTGGCTCACGCCTGTAATCCTAGCTACTCAGGAGGCTGAGATCTGAGGATCGTAGTTCAAAGCCAGCCCAGGCAGGAAAGACCATGAGACTCCTATCTCCAATAAACCACCAGAAAACTGGAAGTGGCGCTGTAGCTCAAGTGGTAGAGCACTAGCCTTGAGCTGAAGAGCTGAGGGAC